AGCCCACAAAGGGGTTTGAGCAACCCCCCCCAGCCGTCCGCGCTATTCCGGACTATTCCGTCACTATTTTCTTGCTATATCGCGCTATTTTGTGACTACATAGGGTTGTTCCGATATTATATCCACACAAAGCCAAAACCCACTACCTTCTTCGCGGGCGGAAGGTTGGGCGGTGTCGGTGCCTTGACCGGATTGGTGCTCTTTGCCACGCGTGGGACATTGGCAGACGGAGTCGCAGAGGCCACTGCTTTAGCTTGCGCAGGCTGATTTGCATCCACTGCCGCGGCCTTCGGTCAACTGCCACAACACCGGCCTGGCTGCGGGTTGTCCTTCCTGTGTCGGCGGGATGGGCGGGGGGGTGGCACCTTGGCTCCTTGGGATGACATGTTTGAGACCCACACATTGCTCGCACGGACGCTGCACTACACATTGCTCGCACGAGAAACGATACTCCTCCGAAACCATTGTTGGCCCTGAGCCAACTTCTGCGGCCACTCCCTGCGGCAGTTCTGCGCGGATATCTGGGTCTGAATGCTTTTTGACACAAGCCTATTAGGCTCAATATAGCTCGAATATAGCCTTTTGTAGTGACGAGATAGTGCCTATATAGTCACGAGTCTTGGGGAGTGCTCCAGGGGAGGGTTGGAAATCTCTTAGACGTACACACGGGGACTCGAGCCTAAACCCAACGATCCCACAGGGTCTGCGGGGCCATGAGCCGAAGGGTGGCCGGCCATGACAATGAGGTAGAAAACGCGCCGGAATCAGGCAGGCCTTCACGTTCTGAATTGGCAGGAACAGCAGGGTCCTGCTTGGTGGCTGTCAGAGTGTCATGGTTTCATGCTGAATGCGACGATGCCTTTCTTTTTGCGCGTCTGTGCGGCTATGCGTGGACACTCAACACTTTTTTGGTTAAGTGACCTAGTGCTGGTCACAGCATGTGCCTACACTCACGGCGGGTTTCTGAATGACGTTATGCAGGGAGTGGCTTCACACAAGAAATTGCTGGAATCATTGCTTCAAATGACAGCTGACAGTAACAACGACAAGAGCAACAGCAACGACAAAAGCCACCACAACAACATCGCCCCAAAACCGGATCTTGCATCTATACGGCACCAGCTATGTAGGAATTGTGCCTCACAAGCGAGGCTGTGGACCCGGCGACCATCAACCGCAGGAAATCCTCTGCCTCGAATGCACGAAAGAAGCCTGTTCTAGCACAGTATAGTATACTATAGTAACAGTATAGTATCTTTAAGGACGAAACGAGGCAGCATCAAGAACTTAGAGATCAACACACAGGCACCCGTCACAAGGACATCTCACGTGGAAAGACAGCTTGTCCCAGGCACGTACAGCCGCCGCTCACGCTCCAACGGAGACAAGCCTCGACCCAAACTGCATGCGAGAACCATGCAACTACTTGACTTGCAAAAGCAGGTCAGCTGAGTGCGAGATCGGAATTGCAAGCTTTTACAAAAAGCAATGGGGATCATCCTGGATATGGGGACACCTCATACTAGGCCATAATGGACCCTCTGGCTATGCGTCATTTTCACCCGGTCAGCTGCAGGTGCCGCAGCGTTCAGGATCCGTTTCGGAGATCATTCAGGAACATGAACATTGTCCTCTAATCTGTTCTCTGCGACTCATTGCTGAAACAATACGACACAACCATTCCCGAACAGTTCTTGCTCCACCAGTGCAGTGCAAGAGTTGGAAGTCCAAGCTGTGGTGGTGGTAGTGCGAGTAGCAGTCGTCGTCGTCGCTGCCATTACTGCAGCCCACTCAGGTTATCACTCTGTTGGTGCTGTCCCCCGTTTCAGAAACTCCTGCTGCACCTGTGGCCTTCGCTCCACATGCTGGAACTCAGGCCCCATTCCAGTAACTGGCACAACACCATGGCCGTAGCGTCTCTGAGGCACGAGCCAACAGGGCCGTACATCGGATCGAACCTCCAAGCAAAGGCCAAGCATCTAGCACAGTTGCTTAAGTGCATGTTGTGATGTTGCAGAAGAAGGATATCGTGAATACTCGGGGCTTTCTTGTTGTTGCCATGTGAAGCATTAAGAGAAAGGATTGCCGGTCATCTTGTTGAGGGGCATCGGGTGTCATGCATAGGTGCATTAGAAATCACGATAAACAAACTAGTGCGCACGTGGCCGCATGATGCAGGCAATACGTACCTGGCCATGCTAAACGGGTAGAGCACTTCAGGGTTCATCATTGTGCACTTTGTCGTGTATGTCCTGGAACAGGTCATTGCAAACAGGATCTCCCTCAAGCACGCATACGTATCCTCAAACCGCACGACAGCGCGCACACACGAGACTCTTGGCATGTTTGCATAGTCACAGGGAGAGAAAGAAAGAGAGAGAGAGAGAGAGAGAGAGACAGAGTCAACGGCTGCCTAGGAGCATCAGTACCGAAAAACAAACATGATCGACCAACTGCAGTGAGTCTAACCAAGATCTGTATGAAACGATTGCACATAGTGAGAGAGGGTTCGTGATTTGATGGGCTCATTCAGAATCATTCGCTCCGTTCGACACTGTGGACAGATGGCCGCGCACATTGTCTGACAAGAAGCGCAAGGACAGGGTCAAATGACCCTCTCCGCTGTACAGAAGACAGTAAGCCACAATGCCGAGATGATTATAGTGACTGTAAAGATCATACAACTCCTTCTACAGATACTAAACCATACACATTTTCTAGATCAGCAGGAATTCAAGATGCATTGCAAGAGCTCAGGCCGGAACTCTGCGAAGACGAAATCTGCACGAAATCGATCAAGCTGCCTGACAGCAGTTGTCCCGGGAAATGCAGTCAAGACGAACAGGGCTCCACAGCACAGTTCGGTCCAGAGAAGGAAGGATGCTAGCTTACAGTGCTTCCCTATGCGTTGACGCAACCTCGAAACGCCCACGGGGCAAAGAAAGCTCCCATCTACCTGATCTGGACATCAGAGAACGGTAGCACTGTAGCTGCGCCTGTCGCCCCCAAAGACTTCATCCAGTCGCCGCACTTCCTCCAGCGGCGTCGGGTCTGGAGTCAATGGAAGCGACTGGTCCGGGACCTCGGCCGGCGAGACTGGCTTACATGTTTCGGGTTCTACCACTTATCGCGAAAATCATCTCCGAGGCCTCGGCAGCGAACACTGGGAAACAAGGGGGTTTAATGATTATGTAAGATTCTCCTAAGATCTTTGCAGCCTTTGCAGGTTACTTGTTGGTTTGGCTCGACAGTGATCGTGTAGGCTTCCCTGCAACCAGTTCAACTGCGATATATAAGGATGCGACTGCGCGACTAGTTTTGCTTGCGCCAGGACATCGTCGAATCCTGAAGCGCCAAACAATCAAGCCCTCAACTCCAAAGTCCTGGCATCCTCAACCTTTGACTTTTTCGAAGTAAACTGTGCAGTACGTGTGCTGGCTGCAGGGGAAGGAGCCAGGCGACCAAGCTTTTCGCTGTAAGCGGGAAGCAAGAACCTCAGAATCCAAAGGTTATTATACCTAAATAAACACGGCTTACTTTATTAAGGTTTGCATTGTAAGGCTAGGCTCCGGGCTTTTGCTAGATTCAGATAGCTGAGCGAGGAACTTGCTTCTGGACGTCGGATCGGCAGGATGTGTGCAGGGTTATGCTGGGAATCAGTTTCTGCACATCGTCCGGCGGCAGGAAACAAGAGCAAAGCTGTTCAGCAAAGAAGCGATGGCAGGAGATTCGTCAGCTTGCCTCAAAATCTTCAGCTTTCAGCATGGCACAAAGTAGCATGGTTATCACAGAAGGACTGGGCCTAGGCACATCTCCGGAAGTCTCGTACGAGACCTGCTCGAAAGTCAATCACCCAAAGCGATACGCCGAGTCCATCTCACAGCCCGAATCCCCCACGTCACCTCAGCCCCAACCATCAACTATCCTCGTCTTCGAGTGCCAAGGGTCTTTTCAAGCTGTCAGCCTGCGTGGAGTCAGGCTGAAGTGACGCATCTTCCCCCAAGACAAAAGGCCAAAGCGACTTCAGGCTCGGCTTCTAAGAACACCTGGCACTGACATCAGGCCTCCACTGTTGTGTAAGTCTCTGAGAGTCTTAGAGGCTGTGGCTAGTCTGAAACATACATTGCGCTAAGACTTGCGAAGCTTCCAAGGCATCTACAGCACTAGGGTCACTAGGGATCCCTGCAGTATCATGACAATGACGATGGCCCTTGAAAAAACAGGCACAAACCGACTGAAAAGCTGCAAGAACAATCGCAGTCTCAGTGGCGAAAGCAACAGTATCACGACGGCATCATAACCGCATCAGTGACAACAGCCGTTCCAGCACTATAACGACGACGACAACAACTGCACCACGATCACGAAGACGGCTACTGCCAGCCGCCACTGCTATCGCGCCTAGCTCTGACTAGTACTGCCACCGCCGCTACCACGGCTCTTGCCAGCATTGCTTCTACAAGTGCGGCTACAACACCTCAACTGCGACTGACAATCACAGTATATAACTGCAAGATTTCTGTCACCTATTTGGCGCGACAGGGTCGATACAAATTATAGATATTATCAAAACCACTTTGCTGGCGGCCCCGCCAGCTCTGCTCGCCGATCTTTGGGAAGTGCACGGAAGGGCGAAGTCACCCGCACAGTGAACTTCGGTGCCCGCAGCATCTGAGCGCCGGCCTTGGGCATAAAAGAACACTCCAGCATATACACTCATCGATATGCTGGGGAGACCTTGCAATTCTCACCAAAACCAATCCTCGCGTAAACCCTACCGCATGCGGGAGGGAAAGATTGTCGGCGAGTGGTCTAGACCATGGCGAGGGACTTGTGCGCACGTGTCCGTATCGTTGCAACGAGCAGATGAGTCCTCTTAAGGTTCAGGGGAGCTTTTCCTTACTTCCTGCACAGTTGAAGGGTCATGACTAGGCGATGCATCCATACTTTTGGACGGTCGATACCCGTCGATTGAGGGTGCGTGGGTATCTGCACATTTCGTTTCTTCGACGTGATGATTCAGCCAGCAAGCAGAAACAACTTGAAAATGTGAACTCGCGGCATGATGCTTTATTCATTGCTGCACCTGCAATCAAGTCTTGGCGAATTTGTTCTGCCAGGTTGCTGGAAGGTCCACCTGGCCGACATGCTGCTGATAGTCATACGGGTCATACACTTGACGGTCAAGTTTAGAACAAAGGACGGACATAGTTACAGCACGGCCCCCCTGAAGCCTGAACCTAACCTACGGTAAGCATTAGACAAGGATGATTCGGTCGACATGATGGCTGCGGCAGAAGGGATTGCTGCGGCTAAGCATCCTCGCGCTGATTCCAAAGAAAGAGCCCATTCGCAGTCTTGCTGAACCGTTAACGTACCCACAGTGCAAGCCACCTGCGGAGTGAGGTCCATGTCCGCTGCGTACCCACTTCCAGCATCACCCAACGTAGCCGCCTCCGGATGCACATGCACCCTATATACATCAAGCGCACCATTCGCGAATAAGGGCTTAGCCACTTCAGCCGTGAGTCCTGTCAACATTCAAATCATTGCTGGAATGGCATGGTTCTGGCACTGTGACTTGTCTGCATATTGCACAGTACGTGAGACCTTGATTTCATTTTTTGGGGTTGACAGATCACATAGCTGCTTACCAGCCTGAGCTTCCACAGCACCCTTGCATGCATGGAAAAGCCCGCAACAGAATGGAATCGCTGGAGTCCGCTGGAGCCGACAACCCCGTGGGCCTCGACGACGAAAGTCGTCGAGTTGGCTCGACGCAACCTGGACATGAATAAAATGTTCACGATGAAGTCTATTGTGGTGACTACTATAGCGAAGATGTCACAGCAAGGGTGCAGCACGAAGGGTGTAACTACCCAGCCGACACCTTGGCTTTGCACGTACTACAAAATCAAGAGAAGAAGCCGGACGAAAATCACAGTCTATCCAATCTTATGTATACGTCGTGTCCCTCGAGCAGACTTTCTCGGCTGTTGCACGTATGTAGGCTTGAGGTTGTTTTGTTCTCCGTTCTCCGGTGGCGTCGTGCTACCTTCGAGTCGACAAAGACCCTTCAGCCAAAAACGGAATCCCTATAAACCCATAAACCCTAAATCCACAAACTCGAAAACCGAATTCCTAAAACCAAGGCCCTAAACTAAAATGGTTCGGCTTCCCTCGCAGTCCATGCCCGAGGGTCTGACCGACAGACTGCCGTAGCTCGCCGACCATCTGAGAGTGTGCAGGAGGCAGATATCATAAGAGTTGAGCACGGTTTCATTGCTGCCAGGCATACTCTCAGGAGCAATAGTAACGTTAAGTGAACACCAAAACCAGGAATCACCAGTCAGGACTAACAAAAACATCGACCGACACTTCTTTTGCGGGAATACCGAGGCGCTCCTGCCAAGCTAAACAACCCTTCCACAAGTCCTAAACCAGCAATTATAACAATACAACAAGAGCAGTAAGTAGCGCATGTCCTTGGCCCGGAGGAACTGGTAGTGTCAGTGACAACTGTGGGGGGGCATTGCCCGCTACCTGAGACGGCGATTCAGAAACTCTCGCAATGCCGGAGCTGTAATTATCTAATTCTTGGCTTTTCCCCATAAGATTTTCGGTGTTCATCAGTTCATCTGGGTATAAGGTTGATGGGCAAGGGCACAGAGACCAATCAGTCCGGCAAGGCTGCATCTATGGAGAAGGCTCCGCGATCGACCACCTCGACCTCCGAGCAGTAGTGCAGGAGTGTTCAGTGCAGCCACACACACACAAACAGAGCAACAAAAACATCATTGTGCAGCATGCACTTAATGTATCTTAATGTTACAGAGTGGGGCAGAGAGAGAAGAAGAGAGATAGCATGATGTGGCTACTGAAGGTAGTTTGTACCACGGAAGGATCCAGGCCCAAGAAGACACGCATAGACGTGCACAAACTGATGTACACATCTGCGAAGTTCACCATATACACATGTGCAAATAATCCTGACGAGCGTGCCTGAGGAACTGCCAAACACACTCCCATGCACCCCGCCCTCCCCCAAACCCCCACCCACCCACCCAAAATAAGCCATAAAGCTGTTACAATAGACGTGTCGGAGGTGTGTACAAAAATGATGCGTGTAGGTGCCTCTTCAATATATATATATATATGGTTGTAGATAAAAGTACAGCACGTACTCGTTAGTATAATCAAACATCCAACTTGACACGATCTGCAACATGTGCAGCCCGCAAGAGTTCACTCCTTGCAATGCCGTTTTCAGTCCTGGACCTTCCCCGAGCGTGTCGGGTGCCTCTGTTTTGAGAATGGAGTTCTCCTCACTTGCCCAGTATCCTACATCCTACGGGAACTAAAGGGGTAACATCTGGGATTCTATAGTATGGGTGTTTCAATACCCTGGTAATGGTCACCTACCCTACTACTAGGTCAGGTCTGCTTCCGCAAACCCTAAACTTCTAAACCGTAGTGTCAGAACGGTGAACAGGAGCCTTGGCGATGGAGGCGTTCCTCAGCTTGCAATTCACTCGACACGTGGCTCGAGACTCGTACAGTACTCGTTGATCAGGATTTCGGGATGTTCAGGGTCGAGGGGGTGGGGTTCTGATTGTGACCGAGTCATGTATAACCGCATATGCCACTGTATACAACCCCCTGGTGAATCATGCGAAACTTTAGCTTCAAGCCATGACGCTCCACTGTCCGGAGGAGCTGCCTCAAGGGCTTCACAGGCTGGTCCTCGGGCTCCTTTCAACGAGGACCGGGCTTCGCGCGTTAATGGGCTAACATCGCAAGTGTGCAGTGCGTGCTTTATTGTTGGCTGCTGGACAAAGAGGGAGGTTTAGAGGCCGAAGAGACTTGAAGAGATGAAGGAAACCACCGAAGTAAGCATTGGGGGTGAGAAACCTCGGAGGAAGAGTTCCGATCAGAATACATTGCTAGTGTATAGCTCACGGCAAGCGATTCTACGCGTTTCTGCGTGTCGGGGGGGGGGGGCTGGCGCACTCTCGTTGCTTGGAACGCAGGCAGCCCTGCACTCTCTTGTGCTTTGCTTTGCTCAGGGGCTTGGAGAGTGGGCAGTCACTCTCCGAAACCGCCCTGTGCTTAGAGAGAGAGCGAGAGAGACAGAGAGAGAGAGGGAGGGAGGAGTGTGCGTGTGTGTCTATCTATATATATATATATATTTTATACATACATACATACATACATACATACATACATACACACATATCTATCTATCTATCTATCTATCTATCTATCTATATATATATATATTGATTGATTGATTGTTGGCACCATTCCCGCATCGACCCATACACGTCACTCTGTGGGCTTGGCAAAAAAACCTGGTCACGGATTCCTATCCCCCACCCCTTAACTCGTTCTAGCCGGGATTATACCCATACCCGTCTAGGCATTTCTGGCCCTCCGATACCAATGCACGCAGCTGGTTTCTGCGCTTCGGCCGGTATGAACGACATACGGATAATGACCATTCCTCAGCACTTCTTAATAAGACTAATAACAATGATACTACAAAAACTAAAATAGCAATAAATAATATTGTAAGAACGGTATATCTTAGTAAAATGATCTGGCAGAATATACCTTTGCCAATTTGACGAGTCTGGCTGAAGCACGAGAAACACTGAATGATCCGGGCAGGTGAGCTCCGGCTGGGGTTTATGAAAACCTGCAGCGTCCGTATTTATTTCTTTTTGAGATGCCGGCAGAGATTCGACCTCCCCTTTCTCTCTCTTTTCAACATCTGACTACTGGCACGATCAGCTTCTACGAAGAGGATGGCAAAGGCACAGGGCTCTAAGACACGACCCTGTCCTGGAGTAGAGAAAACCTGGCAGAAAAGTGAAGAGGTCAGAAAGAAGCTTCCCATTTTGCTGAATGCTTCGCAGCATGTCCAAATCTGCAACCAAGTGGCAGAATGCAAATCCTCAGCTTGGGATCAACGTGCAAAACCCCAACTAACTCGTTATCGAGCCGATCTTACCTATCCTCGCTTTCGTCGTCGTAACCTTTTCCCAAAGCTAGCCGCTCTGCAACTAGGACTCTAGCAGTTGCGTCAATGTGCTGGTCCATCTGAGAATCGAGCCAGGCCTTATACCTCAGGACCTTGAACCAGCCAGCCTAACCGATGTGTCCCCTCTGTACTGCGGAACCTCGCAACACGAGAGCAAAAGAAGCCAAGGCCTCCACGCGAGCTGGTCTAATGTTGACAAGCACATGTCCCAGGCTTACATATTCTATCCGCAACAAGGGGCTGCTACAAAGGCTATAAAGGTTCGAAGAGGGCTCTGGAGGGGTGCTAGGAGCTCTGTGCACAGAATCTTGGCGAAGCCCAGAACTCCGAGAGCGTAATTCAGAAGCCTTCATGATGGGGTTTATTGTTTATACAACTACAACCATACTATATAAGGGACCCTAAAAGGAATAGTACAACGACGTATTCCCCTCCCAAACTATTTCAATTATGACACTAAGGCGCTGCCGTTTCGCCTCGGTTGAGCCTCCGTAATCCTTCAGGAGCACCTCCTGGAGTCGGCATAGCTTGACATGCGTTGGCATGACACACATGGTTGGTTATTTATACTATACTATATACTATACTATATGTACTATCCGATACTCTACTATACTATACTATACTATACAACACTCTTTTTTGCAGTATGTATGGGTAGTAGTCGAAAACTCTAAAAGAAAACTCTGCGCCTATCTGTCATGCGGCGATATGCAAGATGACCTACTCAGGAGGAATCAGACGCTCTCTGTCGGCCTCAACTGGTCTTTTATGAGGAAAGGACTTCATCAAATCCACAGGTTCCCCCAAGCTATGCTTGCCTCCTGCAGGTCTGGTCTGAAACGAATAAACCAGTCAACAACGAAGGCAGTATGAAGTACAAAAACACACGTGTATGTGTGTATATATATATACATATGTGTACACCGGCATCCCTCTCTTTCTGCACACGCGGATTTAATAACGCTTGCGCACACAACACATGCACAAGTGTAAGTAGTGACGTCGATGATCCACTACGTGTGTATTCTACATATGCATATTATACGTATGTGTGTGTGTATGTTATGTGTGTATGTGTATATGGATACCAAAAAACACATACATGTATACCAAAAACACATATATGTATGAACAAACAAGCATACATACTCATACATTCATGTATGCATACGTCCGAAAATGCATGCATAGTCATGCATCAAAACTTGCATGGATACATGTATATGTGCATACTTGCAAACATCTGTACATTCAAACATGCAAATGCGTCCATGCATCTAATTAAATATAAAATGTACATACATACATACATACATACCTACGTACATACATACATACATACATACATACATACACACATACATACGCACAGAAGAACAATGATGAATGCATAGATGCATAGTTGTTAGTTTGCGAGATAGTCAGCCAATTGGATTGCCCGGCAGAGAGACAGATAGATAGCCGAAGCCAGAAAGGCCCCCAGCCACGCAGATAGTTATGCATACGCGTGCAAGCATGTATGCATGCACATAAGCATTTATGCATGTACATGTTGCATTTTTGCTATTGTATGTTCATGATTCGCCCTCTCGCTTTACATAGTCTGAACCTCCTTGCCCCTCTAGAGAGAAATAGAGACAAACCTCGGGAAGTGACGAGGCAAATAGGGAGGAAGGGAGGAGAGAATGAGAAGGGACGAGACAGAACGACTGACAGTCTGCAGCCGAGTCACTAGAAGCTTGTGGCTACCACCACTGGGAGGCGCATAGCTGGTTAATGCCAGCTCCACGGTGCGTGCGAAGCGTGCAAATCCTGAGCCGAGATCCCAAGCAGCAAATGATTTCCGTCTGGCCACGCTGTTGTCCCCCGTGTCTGTTTCCGCTCCGTGTTTAGGGTCATTTAATCTCCTCCTGTTGATGAAGAGGGGTTCGGTTCGAGCACATGATGGTGGGCTTCGCGGGGCGCGATGACAAATTCAGGATCCGGTGCCTCTCCAAGCCCACATGTCATCCAGTCTACTGTCTACTGTTTGCAAAACCTGTACCAAGCCGCTCTCAAAATTGGCAATTACGCAATCATAACATTGAGATACCACTGGCAAGGATCTTGCATCGCGACGGAACTCCTTGGATTCCAACTGCTCCAGGGGGCTTGGCTCGCCCTTGTCCTGCAGAGCACCATGGTAACTTCTTCAGGGCCTTCGAACGGATCCTACCAGTACCTCCGCATTCCTCCGCTCCAGCTGCAAAACAGGGGAGTGCAGGATCGAACACTCTCTTGAGCACTGTTCAAGGCCAGTGCTCCTTCCACATAGCCTGAAAGTCTGGGTCAAAATTCAACAGGAAGCGTGTCCTCAGCAGAAATCTCAACATTTAAAGCCATAAGCCTCTGGAATCAGATTGCCAGACATTCCACAAGCGAAGTCCACACCTTTGCACTCACAGCTAGGGGCCACATGCCTCAAATGCCCCGAATTCCCACCAAGAAGCAAGTAAGCTGTAAAACGCGCCGGGTACAAGTGTTTCGGCTGGTCTGTGTCGTCCTGCAAGCCAACATAAGGTTCCTTTAACGGGTTCTAATACGGGCTCATAAGCATTTAAAGGGCTTTTGTTCTTCACATGGAGAAGTCCGGGCACTCTTCAATCAAACCGTGGCTTCGTCCCACAGCGCACCCTAACCTTCTGGCTTCTTGTCTTGTACACTATATGTGTAGGCCCAAGCCGTATGGCAAAGCTGCTCGATTGTAATACATGTGCGGCATCCTCAGGCAGCGCTCGCCAAAGGGGAGATGCTCTGCCTTAGTGCGCAACACGGTCGAGTGGCCCCGTTCGACGCTGAGAGTTCGGGCTTGCACTCGACTGATACAGAGGGGCTCAAAATCAGAATTGGGATTTGGGACATACTTTACTATAACCACCTGTAACAAGGAACTTCAGGAACAATGCTCCGAAGTATTCAGGCTTCTATGGCTTCTATATTATTTTCCGTGATTGGTGGTGAAGACAACCTTTGACTTTGGCATGCCCAGGCACACAATTCTGGAGCAGCTGCAACCGTCGCGCCAAAGAGCCTTGCGCATCCAAGGCTTTCAGTCCCAAACCACTACACACAAGGCATGTAGACTCCAATCAATCGAATGTTCTGGGCGCGGCTGGTGCTTGTGCACTGGTACGCAAACATGCAGCTCTGAGACTTCCTGGTGGGCGACACAAACTCTGCACGAAACCTGAGTGCATCGCGCGGCAGACAAGGCTTCTCTCCTGGAGATGTGTACCTGCCAAGACATTGTCATTGCCTTGCGAACAATTCGCGATCATGCGCTCCTGCTTGCTCCGCTTCTCTGATACATATGGTGCTGTCCTGTGCTGTCTGGAGTCCAGCAGCCTCGTCCTCAAGGGGTGCCGGTACAAAGCTTCGCACAGCTCCCAGAAGCACGACAACCTCAGAGCGAGAACCGGGAAACATGAGACCTTGAACGCGACAACGGCCTTGCTCAGTGGCGACTTTTGCTTCAAGGTCTCAGCTTTTTTTTTGACAGGGCTGTCATGATACAATCGCACAACTCTGCTGTCCACGGCGCGGGCAATAGATGGGCAATCGGGAACACCAAGTAATAGTATTGATCAGAAACTACTCAGGCTTGTATATTATGGGGGGAATTGTGCGGCCCCGCAGCAACTGCTGCTAAGGCGAGGTTTGGCCGGGAGCGAGCACTGCGGCGGCCGGCAATAAGACGCGCCATATGGCGCTTGAGAAAATCCGTGGGTGCTGTTCAACGGTTCAAGGTTTAGGACCCTCGGGTTTAGGAGTGTCGGTCTGTCTTGGTTTTCTTTGTCTCATTGGAATGGCTTTCCACAGTTATGCAGACATTACGTGCAGCTATCTGCTGTATATGATCATAAATGTGCTTGTTTGTGTGTGTGTGCGTGCCTACGATGCGCGTATGTCTTTCTGCATCTATGTATACATGCATACCTGTCTATATTTATGCTTATCCTGTGTACATATATATATATATGATATACATACACATTCAACCACATGCATAAAATGTTTAATTTGTACAGTTTGTACATGCATATGTATATTTATACGTACACTCATATATGTATTACGTAAGTTTAAACATACGTACACATCATCTTATCGGTAATTATATACACATATAACACATTATATTTATTATATGTACAAATAATATGTGAGTGAGGGCGTTTGTGCATGTATCTTATGATTTCTTTGTTCATATGTTTGCCACGTTTCTGCACTTACACATCCTAGTGAAGTTGGCAACTTGGTTTTTTTATGATGAAATGTCTCTGGCAGCGCGCGGGGAAGGGGGGAATACTGGCTGCCAGATCAAGCAGTCCAAGGTCAAGGACGCAAGTCCACAGCATCTGCGCAAGTCCATCCCGTGATCACCAATTCAAAACTCTTGCGTGTCACAAGTTGGAAGTACGACATGAGCAAGTAGCAAGCAATGCGACATCGAATCTACATCTCCTCTGATATTCACTACCTGCGGATCTCCACATGATGCAGGCGCTTTTCTGAACAAGCGTTGCAGGCTTTGAGTTGCCCGCACAGGAACCGGCTGCGGAGCGAGCATGCGCAGAAAAGCATGCCGGTGGAGGGCCTATGGCCATATTGAATCACCAGGAGAGGCTTAAGGCGTGCAGTGGGGCTACACCTCGATGTTGTAATATGTGTGGCATTCCCAGATCCATCTCCCCCAGCTACCGGGATTAGGCCCAGGTTCGGCTTGGATGGAAATGTGCCCCTGCCACGCACTCCACGCCACGCCTTGTCTCAGAAATCTAGACTGCTGGGGGAGTGAAACTTGAAAAAACATGTTTCTGTGAAGCAGCAAGAAGGTCGAGATCAAGCGGAAACGGCGGGTACTGGCTGCGTTTTCACCCTGTGGGCCTTTGGTCACATTTGACCTTCTTGCGAGCCTGTCCCAAGAGATCTTACGTTCTTGAGACCCGATTGGATCCATCAGGGCGAGGGTCCAGGAGACGCATGCCTTGTTGTAGACCCGTGATTTTTTCAATGGCCTAGTGTAAGAGTGCTATATGATCCCTATATGGTTATCCTCTGTTCCAGGATGGGCAGAACGGGCAAGAATCAAGGGTCTACATGAGAGACCAAAAACCTTTTGGACCCCTAGTATGCCGTCACTAAACATAATGGGATGTCCCTGCCTGTGATGTATGACCATAGTCTGTAGGTGGCACCTTCCTTTGTCAGGCAACAAAAAATCAGAACGAGGAGTTCAAAAGAACTGCAGGGCTGTAAGGCCTTTCTGAAAATTCTTTCAGAACCGGATAGGACCGGGCAGGTCAAGCGCGCTGGAGACGGGTTCTGAACCCCGCAGTCGGCATTCTGCCTCACCCGGCCAGGTTAGACACTGAATGCCATGAGCCTGAGTTCAAGCACCATCAGGCAAGCAGACAGCCGTGCAGCGATGGGCTCCAGGAGACTGCTCAAAGGCTCGTTCGAAGCATTGGAAACAAGTTCGCTGATGCCGATCAGGTCTATCAGGAATTCGTACAACAAAGAGACAAAGCAGACATCGCTGAAATATGTACGACACTGCATCAGATGACCGGAACGGCTCATGCTAGCCTGGAGCCTGTGCGATGGCCTTCATGACATCTTGTCTTGACACTCGAAACCGTTGGATTTCCATCCTTTGGCTACCTGCAGGTGAAGATAGCACAAAAAAATGTCGAAAGGGGTTAAAACGGTCTGCTAGACCTCAGATTGCTGGTTCATTGGACCAGCGGCGGCCTCAGTGATTCGATCTGAGTCTAAACCGCTAAAGTGGGGCGACATGTTGTACCGTGAGCCTTACAAACTCAATAGGTGACGATGGCAAACTGAAATGTCTTCCCACGGTTGCATCTCTCCGGAGAGGTCGATGTTTCAAGACCCGAACAAGTCGAAGCTTCGAACACTCTAAACCCCGAACGACACCGCCGTGCTCGGTCATCAATCTCGCACTCCCTGAGGCTGTAACAAGGGGCAAATCATGAGCTGGCTAAGGGCTTCTAGTAAATATATCTTATAGGTATATAGGCCGTGCAGGGATGTACAGGGCATATAATTTACATGGTCCGTGGGTCGTAGTTGAAGAGCTTCGCTTTGCTCCCGCATCGGCAGCCAACTCATCGGGTTTGTTGCTTTGTCTTTTCCGGTGTCTATAGTCTATAAGTCACAGATCGCTAAAAATATCTCAATTTTGGTGGCTGTGCGCTGCAGCTCGCAGCGCAAGTGGGCTGTACGTTTCAGGGTGCATCGTCTACGGGCTCAAATCATGCAACACGGGAGTGGGAAACAACAGGTGCATCTGCAGCGAGCGCTATGCTGAAACCAATGGGAATGGTCGACATGATACCTGTGACCATAGGGTGCACAACAGAGACTTTCGGGCTTGAAGCAAGGGGGCAACAGTGGCCGATTGATTATTCACGAAGTAATTACTTGTCACACAAGTACGTCGTCAGTCATTTTTGTGCCGCTACTGTAACTCGTGTCCAACCTCGTCCAAGAAATGCCCACAAAATGCCGAGCTCAAGCTAAACAGTATACCTTTGCTAAATTCGGTGCCGTCCGGCCCTGGGGCCCTAGCCGTGGCCCTAAGAGCATGCTGGCCAAACCACATGCCCAGAACAAACCTCTGACAGCCTACCAGAACATCGGGGATCTAGAATGCAGGGCTCTCGTGAAGCCAGAAGCTTAATGCCAGTCTCCTAACATCTGCAGCTCACTAGGCAAAAACACCCCAACACCTTCATCCTAAAAATCCTGGCCCCATAAGCATCCCGAAATCTGAATCCACAGGCACATCGCGCACACAGGTTGCCAAGCACAGTGCGACCAGGGAGTAGTAGAGTTGTTTCGCCTTGGGCCCCAAGTTCTGATGCGGCACTATCTCAACACCCCGATGCCCCAGGCCCCAGGCAAACCGAACACCCGATTATGCGAACCAGGCGTTTCTATCCGTGCGGCATGTCCCAAGAAGTCCTAGGCGGTGCCATCAGGACCACAACCACCACAGCCACCGTCCCAACCAACGCGCGCTGGGACGAGTGACAGCAACATACGCTTCACGTGGCCTGCATGGGACGAACCACATGTCAGGCTCCGACAACATGCGTTTTGACTCGTGTTTACCGAGGCGTTAAGCATGTTGACTTTCGTGGAGGCGAGGAAAATTCCAATTTGCATTTTAAGTGGCCTGTGCAGGACAAAGCCCACTTTGTGTATGCAGAGTTGGCGAATTTGCTTTGCATAGCCTTTGCTTCGGTTTTTCGCGGGAACCATTGCCGCAAGACAAAATGTGTGTTTTTGTGTGGGGCAACGCTTGACGCACTTTGGGAAACGGCGTTTATGCTTAGAGTGGTGTTGTTTCGTGGTTTCCGCTTTCTACAACACAAACATGAACAGGAGCAACGAGCGTAGGTCAGCAACATGATTACGACCATCATCATCATCATCATCACCATCGTCATCATCTGCATTGTCAACGCTATCATCATGCTATACCGCAAGAGGCTTTAAAGAGTGAAGGCTTCGGCTTTCTTCAGGCGCACTTTTTGCAGAGACTTCTTAGGGCTTAGGGCTGCGTACTTGCAGGGAGCTTTGTGGGCCTAAGTAACTCGGATTGTTGACAAGGCGAAGGCTTGGGCACACTTGCGGCTTACTGGGCCTACAAGTAACTAGGACTAGGAATGCTTAGGGGGCAAGTACACCTACAGGTACGTAGGACCCTTCGTGAGGGAGTACAAAACACTAGCAGGATTTCTTGTCGAGTCCCCTGAAGCTGCAAGTTAGGAAGCTTTGAGGGCTCAGGCTTTTGCGTAGAAGGCTTAGCTTGGCAGCGCCGTTGCTTTACGGGGTTGAGGGATGTTGAGGGTTCCAGGCTTGGGCTCACTAGCGACGCAGGCAAAGCCAGAACTTAGGATTCAGGACCAGCATATTTTGCGAAGCCAGCAGCGCATCTCGGACAGCTCCAGTGGAGGAGCTGCTCGCTTCGTTGGGCATGGATGCTCTTTTCTCAATCGCACTAGACCATTAGGTTTTAGGCATGGATGCTCTGTTCTCAAACGCACTTCATTAGGTTTCGGGCATGGATGCAACAAGAGGAGCAGCAGCGGCAGCAGCAGCCGCCAGCAACAGCCCTTGCAGCAGCAGCCACAGCGACAGCCAAACAAACCCTTGGATGGCGAAACTGATGGCGATAATGAAACAGGCTGTGGGCAGGCACTACGACGAAGGCTGCTACCAGCATCCGTGTTAGCGAGGTGGGGGTGATGGTTCTTGTAGTAGCGATGAACAACAAATCGGACCGGCATAGCAACTCTCGCGGTTGTTGCCGCTGGTACAAAGCCCGATGCTTTCGTCGTTGTCTTTTCTTCGGTGGTCGTAGTCGGCTGCGCTGTTCGACAAAACCGTTTTTGGTAAATACCGGCACTGATGATCTTGGCGCCGATGCTTTGCTCGGTGAAAGAGAACATCGACCCATGTTCATTCAAACACATCCTGGCTGTCCCGATCTCAAACTCGTGTTGCGGGGGACTCCGTTCGCAAAACAAGCGATGCAGAACATCATGACCAGCATCAGTGCCACATGCATTCTTGTGTCACCAGTTGCGCACATCATCCTCCACCACCTCATCAGCAACATCTTCACCACAAGCATTGCCATCTGCGAAGATGAGAGCCTGGCCCTCCCCTGCTGTGAAGATCCTTCGGGGACTGGAGAACTGGAGAGAACAAGTACCAAATGCCTATTATCACTTCCCCCGTTTATTAAACACCACCGTAAACATAAACAGGAAATAATGCCCACCTTTAAAGGCTAATTTGAAATAGGAGGTTCGGGAGCAAGAGCAGGAACAACACCAAGAACACCCAACAGTGACAGTAGAGATAAATATGAACCTCTCCTATAGGGATGAACTCAACCTTCGACTTTCTATTGGGTGGGGGAGGGCATTTAATGTGGGGGACTTGATTACATGCCTTCCCCCTACTTGCGTGCTTCCCGTGGATGTGGATGTCTCCTACGGCTGATGTATCCGACTCGGGACTCAACTGTCTTGTGCTCAGGCAAACACCTCCATCATGCACACGCACACACATATGTATATATGTATACATACA